CACGGGGTGGTAGAAACACCCTCACACAGTGAGTTGGAAACACAATCCTACTGTACGACAAACCTCAAAATATTTACAGATGCATCACTTTTAATTGACTAGAAAACATATTATTGCTCATATTTAACCAAATCACTGGACCTGGCAGTGGTGTTTAAATCTAGACTAGATAATAATGGGACAATTACATGTTAAAAAGTCTTAGAGGCCTGAAGAAAAGAATATGTATATATATTCTGTGGTTTAGATTAGGAAAGTTATATTCCCAATCTTCAATGTAACATCCATCGGCATGTCATGATAAAAAACACAAATCTATATCCACTTTCTATCCTTGCCCTGTTGTTTAAGGTCAAACAAGGCTGGAGTCTATTCCAACACCAAAAAAAAAAAATCATTCTTGCTTGAAAAGACCTGCAGTGGTTGCAATTTTGACAGCCTGGGGAATATCACAAGAAAATTGAACTAGGGACCACTCCGTATCCTTCATTTAACAATAAACTACTAAGATTAATTAACTTTAAAACTCCTTCAGAACAAGTCTTCATCGGAGAAGTGTCAAGAGGTTTTTCAGACAGATGGAGGTTTGGGATTTAGCGTTTATTTACCGTTAATGTCTTTTTAACTACTGTAGTTGCATTAAGGTGTCATGCAGTTGTTACATTTATGTGTATGTTTTTCAATGGGAACAGACACATACATCCTCAATTATTAACTCTAGAAGGATTAAAAAAATAAGTTTCACTCAAAGTTGCAGTAAAAAGTACCAACAGAAGAAACTTGAGCCCTGAAATGCCATAAAAGCTGCTAGCATCCTCATAACCAAAAGCCGAACAAGCATGTTTGAATTTAAGTCCTGCCTATAGCCAAACATGTGACCAATCAGGCCAGGGGAATGTCACCCCCAGGATTTACTACCCTGCTATTAAAAGAAAAGAAATACACATATGGCGTAGTAAAACAGCGAACCAGCACCACCCAGGATGGGTAGCTTATGTCGTTTTAAACTTTGGAAAACTTTTCTGTTAGCTTATAGGTATGTTACTGGAGTTTCATCTGACTACTTAAAAATTATAAAATCTAAAACTTAAGAACTTGAACACAGCACTCACATTGACTGTTCTGCTTAAATCTTCCACAAGGAGTTATATTTCTGTAACCTTCACCCTGATAACATGCACATCCTTTATCATCTGACAGCTCCTCTGCAAACCTCTCCAAAGCAGACACTGAGCCTTTCACTGACTCAAGATGAAACTCTGCCTCTGTATGTCATACACGCAGCTGCAGCTCTTACAGCCTTCGGCGTGAAAATCTCACTTCAGCCATCTGACCTCAGTTTTCAGTATCTGTTTATTCAAAAAGCCCCCAAGAGGCTGACAGTACTGCCGCTACTATTAGAAACGACAGCAATAAGACAGCATGGCAATCGCATATCATTATAATATTGACAAAACAGTCTAAAACGTGTCATTATCAAGACCATAACCATATTCCCAGGATGGTGGTGATGTTTCAAATGGGAACCACCGAGCTAAGAGTAAGACCTCAAAATAAGTGTGCCTCACCCTGAAGACATGGCAGCTTAAGTGTAGAGTAGCAAGACTTTTTAATAATGCCAGGGAGTATTAACAAGCTCCTTATGGGCAAGGGTGACTGTTGACTGTAAGTAATGTCCAAAGCAAAGGTGGAGGACCTTTATATCACACATGAGAGGTATAACACTTTAGAGAGGATATAAGGAACTTGTTGACAGGATTTCTAAACGCATGTGCATATACCTAGGAAGGGATGTCGGGGTATTTCTATGTTGCTGTCTTTTAAGTTTGGGGGTATATCTGTACCAATTGTGTTGTACATTTTGTGCGCCTTAATGAAAAATATCCCACAAGTTAGAATGGGTTGTCTGAATTGTTTTTACCTTTAAATTTGACAAAAAAAAAACTTTTTTCAGACCTGCATTTTAATCCAAATATATTGTCACCTGTCTCCATATAACAGCTCTGTTGTGCAACACCTTGTGTTTATGTCATTTTAGATCATGTCACTTTTGATCGTTATATTTAAGGTGATTTCTCTTTGTTTGCTTGTAAATTACAAGGTTTGTGTTTTGTGATTGTTTCTACAGCTTCTGACTTGAAAAGTGCTTCATAAGTAAACGTTGTTTGACCCGCCTGTGATAAGCCCATTCTCGCCTGCTCACGTCTCACCCTACACACGAGCTTTGTGTCTGTGTCTTTAATGAGATGGCGAGGCAGTTTATGTCAGATGATGTGAGCTGTTGAAAAAACAATCCAGTTTACTGCTCCTCTGAATTACCTTATTGATCATTTGCTAGAGCTTTTCTGCACCTGACACCAAACCAGCCTCTCTGTTAATAAGAAATCTATTTCAGCTGAGATATTAACCAAAATAACATCTGTCTAAAAATTCCCTTCAGATATTATGTTTCGCACAGTTTGCTTTTGGTTTAATGAGTATGCAAAGACTATTCAGACATTAGGAATTTTTTTATTTCATTATAAAGTGTCCTTTTTTTGTGAGTTGCGGGAGCTTTTTGACCATGCCAAGACATTTGTTTATTTATTCTGAAAATGTCAACATCCACTGCATTGCCCTGAATGTGAACTGAACAAATACTGGTGCCAGGCTTTAAGCTCTGTGCCAGGCGTATTTGAATGTCTAGTAAACACTGTCCTCTAGTGCTCACAATGTAAAAGTCACTAAAATATACACACTCCCACCACAGAGTTATGCTCCCTGTTGCTGATGCAGTAAATAAGGCTTTTCAAGAAAAGGGATTCAAGAATCTTTTACTTCCAAAAATCTGGATATTTATTTGTAACATTTGTCGGTTATGAAACAACCCCAAATTACTTAAAAGGACATGTCAGTTGTTGAACTGGTGTTTTTTTCCTCCTTTCATAAAAAGCCTCAGTTGCATTGACTTTTTTGTTCCTCTGTGTACAAATCATGGAGTAATAGCTACAATTGGACAGAAATGTCTATAACCATGGTTTTATTATCAGCTAAACTCTGATGGCTTTTAGCAGGGTTGGTGTAGTCTGCCTAATGAGGCCAGTCACAATCACCGAGTGAGCAGCAATAAAAAGCATGGGGATGGCATCCCCCTCCTCTTCCAAATTACCTGATCAATCATTGACTAATGCTTTGGAGCCCGCTGATCTCACCTGTCAACACAAGGTCAGAGTGATCCAATCCCCTGGACGACACATGCTGATGTGGATCTGGATGTAGGCACAGCAGATTTGCAATCAGCCCGTCAGGCAGCAAACGGAAGCCCGCAGGATATTAGCGATGTAAATGGAACATGATGGTGCCATTATAGTTGTGCTCATCCTGCTCTGCATTTGATGGTGATGTCTTTTCTCTGCAATTCAACAGCATCTGGCTAAAACCAGCGCAGGCAGGAGTATTTTGGACAACCAGTCTTTAGTTAAGACACAATCATTTTCTCTGGCTAGTGACACATCCCATTTGTTTCTACTCACAGTCGAGATTTGTTCAGGAGCACCAATTAATGCTCATCACATTTTTCCTCCTTTCACAAAGTAACTCCTCTTGATCTGTGAATATTAAATAATGTTTTCCAGCTGCACTGGACATGTTTGTATAAGCTCACAGAGAGTTGTGTGTGGCTGTGGCAGAGGCACTGAACTTTAAGGGCATGCATGGTGACATTGTGTACTGAAATGTGCAAACAGTCCTGTTAGTCCAGTTGACCAAACAAACACAGCAGGTCATACAGACCTTGTAAACATTGGTCTCTTCTAGTAGACAACCCCCCCAGCAAAAGGGCATTTATGATCCAATTTACTAAATCCAGAACTCTCCTTCATCTTTCAGCATTCTGACATTAAAATGTGATTTTCAGAGTATAACAGCACCTGCAACCAAAGACTGTTGATTTGATAAATTGGCTGATGGAGCTGACAAACCTCACAGTCATTTCGATTGTGTTTTCTGCTCCAACAGTTTTCCACTCCGTCTCTTACATAGTGTAAAGAAAATTAGATTTGGGAAATATAATGTCATGCAAATTGCTTTTTCCTTTTTTAACAAATGCAAAGAGTTATTCAAAGTTTCTATCAGACAGCATCTTAGGTTGGAACAAGAGATTTTAGGACTTGATTTGAATGCAGTGTTTCAGACTTTACAGGGATTTCATCAGTACTGCTGATCCTTGTCTAACTTAACAATACCGTCTGATATTTATCATAGGAAAAAACTAATTACACTTCAAGTAGTGTGAAGCTAAATTTAGAATATTTTTGGTTTCATAAACATCTATGACAAGTTGTTTTGTTTTTACTACAGTATGCTGGTTTTTAATCTTTTAGTGCATGAACAAGCAGTGACAGGCAGAGCTTCATTAAATGTTGTTTTGGTTAAATAAAACTAAAAAACATTTGATCTGCTTTATAATCATGGGAAGCAAATTTATTTGATTTGGGATGAACAAAGGATTTATACTGACAGAATCAATACAACATGCCTTGTTTTTCGGTAAATGCAGCATTATTCAAGATACAATATTTCAGAACAAAAGCATAAATTTACACAATGCTTCTTCAAAAGAGGGTGGTTCAAATATTAACATGCTTTGAAATGAATAAATCAAGACCTTTTCAGGCTATTTCCAAACTGGTGACATCTGACAGATTACTGATGCATCTTTTATGATCCTCACTTTCATCAGGGTGCTGAGATTTGGGGGTTGCAGTGCTATCGCTGTGAAACAAAGCATCTGGCTCCCATCTGGGCTTTGTTGTCTTCTGCAGCACAAAACATATTTTAGAAAACAAGTGAAAAATGGCATAGCTCTGTACTGTTTTTTTTTTTTTTGCTCATCTGCTTTCCAAAATGTATCCAATGCCAGAAAAAAAATAAAAAATCACACAATATTTTAAACAGCCACTGAAAATTTGCAGGAACATTCAATTAAGCTCAGTCAAACTGGTTTCTGTAGCTCACATGTTTTATACACGTCCAAAACGGTCTATTGTTGAGTTTCTGAAGTTTTGTTGCAACTCCTGAATGCTGGGAGAAGGCAGAGGAAATGACATCCCCTCGCAGTTGACCGTATACTAAGGACAAGACAAAACAAATATAACCATATAAACACAGCAGTCAAGTCTTGTTACATACAATGCATGGATAAGAAGTTTTGATCTATATATAGGAAGTGAAACTTTCCTACATTACCTCTGGGAATTTAATGTTCACATTGATGCTGTCTGCTGAGGCAACCACAACTGTTGCAGAAATCTCCTGCCCGGGGTTTCTCTCATGTTGCTGGGAGAAGCCGAAAAAGAAAGCCATGACGTAGCTTTGAATTCTAGGAAAAAAGTACAAATCTCCTCTTAGGGCGCACTTACACTAGGCATTTGTACTGTCCCTGAGCACGTTTGACTCCCAAAGTCCAGTTTGTTTAACTAGTTTGAGTGTTTCATTGCATGCTCAAGCACAGCACACTTCCTTGGCCCTGGCATGGATGGAAGAGATCAGTAAAGTTTCAGTCATGTTTTTTGTGTTGTTCCCGGATGTGTGGACTTGGACTCTAAGTTGTGCCCCTATTTTCTTCTTCTTGTAAACTAAGCACATGCATGTATTGTCTTAAGACATTATGTACGAAGGTAACTTGGCTAAGGCCCAGTTAGTCCTGGAACAGTAGGAATGCAGGCCAGCATGGGAATGGGGAGAGGGTTAATTGTGCCTCAGCACGGTACATAGCAACCCAGCCGAGTCTAAGTGCACCCTTACAACACATGCCAGATTGTATCAAATTGTTAACACAGAAAATGTCCCCCCCCCCCCCCCACATTCATTGTATGGCAAATGTATTTTTCACACTTTCACCTTCCTTCTTCCTCACAATTGCTCTTCCTTTATTCAAACTACATCTGTATTCCACTCAAGCTTACCTTCTGCCTATCTCTGCCATGGTTGTAGGGATTTTGGTCCAGTTTACTTTGGAACTCAGCGTTGGTTTGGAACCAGGCAGATGTGTGGTTGCACCTCTCACTGAAAATCCATATGACTGACATTCGGCTCCCCATCCAACGTGGACCTTGATCAAACGGATATCAGACATGTAGATAGTTACTGATAAAATACTAAGCTTCCACCAAGGTTTGAAATTCATGTATGGAAGTAGGAAATAGATTACATGGACATACGTGTGTTTTTGTAGAGGAAATAATACTTTACTTTCATGCAAACAGATTTTAGATCTCTTAAACCAGGCACAAAAAATGTCAAAACATTTTTCATGCACATTTGTATTTCATTCATTACAGATGTTAAAATCCTAAAGGACTAAGATTCATAAAGTATGATCTTTCCATTCCACAAAACGGGAAATTGTTTATTTTTTCCCAATGGAGGGCAGTGGAAAGAAGCTTTGTTCAAAATAATAACATTTATCAACTTTTAGGTTTCTTTCTGTCATTTGAAGCTGAGTGTTGGGTTTTTTTTGCGCTTTGGGTGAAACTAGCCACCTGTGTTGGTTGAAAGGGATGCTGTCTGTTGGTACAACTCCAGGATAATTGATCTGTTCTCTTGCTGATTGTTCTATCTAGGGTTAAAGTTAGGGGACATACTGTTAAGAGTGCAAAAGTATGCATGGGAAGACCATCAGGGGGTAATACTGTAGATCGATCCTGGAACACTGGACCTCAACAATTGAGTTGTTGGTTAAGTTGGCACTAATTCAAACCCAAATCTTAACTTTTCCCTGAACCTTACCAAGTAGTTCTAATGGCTGAACATGACTAAACTGTGAACATTTGCCAAAGTTAACATGATTCAAATACAGTACTTCTGACCAAGCTGCCATATTTGATGAGTTGGGGACTAATAATTTTTTGTTCATTAGTATGAGCTATAGCAACTTGTAATAAACAATTGAAGATCAAAATTTAAAACGTGTTTTTGCTCCCAAATCTTCAAGGGCATTGTTTGTGTTGGTGGCTTGTTGTTATTTATCTAATGGTTATCAAATGTTTTTTAAAAGGAAAGGGATGGTAATCACTTATAATAGCTGGTTTGAGATTAGCAGGCATGACATTAGCTAACAATAATCCTTCTTATATGTGCAGATAAGAATGTATCCAAACTGCTGTTCCTGTATATGTGTTTCATATCTACCTCTGCCTCAGTATAGGCGTGCACGATGGTGTCGACGCACATCTTCCAGTTGGTGTCTTCTCCAACCTGGGACATAATCAGCTGGTTGCTCTGCACGTTTGTCTCTGACGCGTAGTAGATGGATGCATCGTAACCAACGGGCTTCTGGTTGCCACTCATGGCAAAGGCTTTGATATTGAACACAGCTTGAGATGTTGAGTTCAAGACCTATTGGATGAGCAAGAAATCAGTCCAGGACACAGTAATGGGGCTGAGTTCATTCATCATGTACATTATCTGCAGATAATTCATCATATATGTATGTCAGAGGTTTGAGCCTATCCAGGCTGAGAGAGCTAGCCTTTTTTTTTTTTTTTTTGCAAAAATTGACAGAGTTCCATGAAACATATTTAGGGTCAGTCTCCATGGAGCATGTTTAGCATACTTGCATTGTGCTGTCCTGATTGCTGAGATGAGATCCTCTGGCACTCAAGGATTCATCAGAGGACAGACTTACTTGCTGGATGGCTTCCTGTAAACACAATTAAGCAACAAGATAATGTGAATGGATAAAACAGCAGAGCAGGTGCAGAGATAATAACATTGCAAGGGTAGCCAAATACCTTGGAAAGCCTCCTCAGAGTCTCAAGCAGTTGGCGACCACTATCTGGATGTGTGCTCGGGCCAGCGTTAACCTCAAAGTGGATTTTGTCAACAGCTTCGATTGCCTGGACTAATGAACGTGCACAGGATACATTAGCAAAATGTCAAGACTGAAATATAAAGACGTAGACAAAGGAAGTGAACCAAAAAAAAAAAAATCATGCTTTTTAATCTCCAGTTGTTTCACTTCTTGTTTTTGCTAACCTCTAGCAGGTAAACATCAGTATGTGAAGGACTTGTGCATACCTGGTGTTACTTTTAAAGCCATGTAGGTGTATCCGACGAAATAGTACAGTGGGTATTCCTCATGATAATATGCTCTCTTTAATTCAGATTCCACACAGAGAACAGTTCCATAGATGTTACTCTTAGTACACAGTTTGGTTATTGGATGCCAGTAGTTTGGTGTCTGAAACGTTTAGATTAAATCACTGCAAGTTTAAATCTCAAAGATATTAATTGAAAATGTAGTTATCCTGAAGCTAATGATGGTACCTCAGACTCAGGCCTCACTACAGAGGGGTCCACATTGATGACTTCATCATTGGAGTCCATAACGTTGGGAATTATTGGTGTCATCTTTGCCAAAGCTGGCTCCTCAATGTTTCTGGAGACTGCGTACACATTAGAGCTGTAAATCAGCAAGAAAAAGGAGAATTCTGAAACTAACCGCATGGCTGCATTTCGGTCAGGAAATCCACAACAAAGCAAATTAAAACATATTATGTTTTGGAATGATTTTAGAATTTGTGAACTTCTCTTTTAGTGCTACGATTCCATTGTAATCTAGACTTTATTTCAACAACAGTCAAGCAGTTTTCAAATATGCACTCCGGATAATATCTAGATAATTACAGGAGGACTGCTCCGGAGATTCTCACGACCTAGCCTTTCACATATGCTTCTCACAGCGGGGGACTTACCCTGTCAGAGGGGAGGGGGGTAGGGGGATTTCCTGAGGTAAGACGTCACATAAAAATACAACGCGGAAGTAGCGGCAGAAGCAACAGAGTCTGCTACCCGATGTTATAACTAGAATATTTGCCTTTATATCAATGCTATGTGTAATCCAATGGAATGACAACATCCACAAAAGAGCGGAGAGCAACATACTGACGAACAGAAAACATAATGCAGACGTTTATGCAGTCACTGTATAAAAACGTCATGCTCTTTCTATTGGCGCAAGGTGAATTCTCCAGAGTATATACTGCCGTGTTCCGCTCACTCTGACTTTCTGTGGAAAAAATACTACGGGTCTGGTCGGAGAAACTCCGGGTAAAGTCCGCAGGAAACATTTGGCTGTTAGCGTTCACATATAGCCTAAAGCCCCTGCGTGTAGCCAAATCTCCGGAGGTTTTCAGGAGATTTCCGTATGTGTGAAAAGGGTTTTTCCTTACCTAATCGGTACTATTGGCATTGAAAACTCTTTGGTTTTTCAGTTACTGTAAATGTTTGACTGGAGAAGCTGTGCTCATCTTTGCCAACATAGAAATATTTTTTTTATTAATGCATAGTTACTATTTTTGGAATATATTAAGAAAGAATAAGCCATTTTATTAGATTCAGTTTTTTTTACCTAACCAACCCCCTAAAACATACCTGATAGAAATGAGCGAAAACTCTTTCTTGCATGCAGGGATGTCCAGTTCAAACTTCTTTTCTCTTACATTGATCTTGGCAGAAAAGTTCCACGGGATAGCTACAGGATGTTTGCTTTTAAACTCAATGGCACACTGGAACAGCTCTGTGTTGATGCCGTAGAAAACCCAAAAATCCTTAGTGAAGCTGAAAAGAAAACAGTGTGGTTGTTGTAACTGTACAACAGCAAGATAATGAAGAGTATAGAGTAAAAGGTACATTTACAATGATTAGATTGAATCAAAATTTACAATTGATTAGAAAAATTCAGTCAAAAAAGATAGTTTGCTCATGATGATTTTTCTAGGCATACTGATATTTTATTTAACTAAAATTCATTTCCGATACCTTACCCAATAAAACCATCAGTCTCCAGTAAAATTTCAGAACCCAGCAGTTCTCCAAGATATTGAGTAGGTGGTGGGTTTACTATGGCTTTGGCTATAAAAAAAAAGTAATGTGCTATAAGACTTTACTTACATCAAATCAAAACATACATTTTTTCTTCCTTAAATAGGTATTTCCTTTGTAAAGCTGTCATCTGCTGTAGGATTTGACTTCTTACCATTAACAGTGATCCCATTGATGCTTTGATAATATTTGCTGATCTCCAGTGGGAGTCCGAGGGTGGTGGCTTGGAAGTAGCGAACCTCAAAGATTAAGAAAGGCTTTGTCCGATGCCATGACACTCCCCTTTGTAGGTTCTCTATCATTCCCCACAGAGGGCTTTCTTTCCCTGCTGAAGGACTGACAGCCTGCAAGAAGGATCAGAGGAGAGCTCCATGTAACATGCTTTGTTTACTGCATGAAAATATGATCCTTTTTTGTTGACTGAAGGGGCTTAGACATAAATGGATCGTTCTTAGTGGGGGGTTGTTTGTTTATTCTCTCACCGCAATTAGGTCCTTTATGAACCCTTTGTTGATATCACCAAAGAACCACTCTTGTCCAGAGGCGCGTGTGTAGACAGAAAGAATGGGCTTGTCATTGGGCAGGATTTCCCAGTTTTGAAGCTAAAATGACACATCATGGTCAAACAAGCGAACAATCTCACACCATAGTAAAGATAAGTTTGTATATACTTACCACTCTAAAAATAGCCTGAAAGTCACGATAACTAAAATCTCCAGTAAAACCAGGAATGCCATTGCTAAAGAGCTCCTTAATTCCTTCAATATTGATCCCCAACTTTAGTATAAAAAGAGATGATGATTACTATTCATGACTGGAATGATCATGAGAGTTTGAATGCTAATGTGTCACTCCGTACCTCCAGTAGCTGCAGAATTCTACCAATGAAAAATAATTTTCCTTTCATCATGAATTCAGTGGGAAATTTGTTTGTTGCACTCCCTAACATGAGGATTTCAGCGGCTGTTCCAATGAGGAAATCATCTGTGTTTGGGAATATAGCACAGTGTCATGATGGCTGCAGAGAAATCAAAGAATCCAAGCATGTGTATTTGAGCATACCGTTAAACCAGTCCATGCGCAATGCTTTGCTGTAGAAAAAGCTGAGACGACCAAACTTAGGGGCCAATATTTTCACAGCGACATTGCAGGCGGATGAGCTAATGTAGAGACAACAAAAAAGAAATTAGATTGCTAAAGAAATTTTGGACATTTTACGGTAAATGACAAGAAAATATACAACTGACTACAAGAGCAATTGTTTTGCTCACAGAAAGAGATTGTCAGGAGTACTGGATCTGGCAAAGCTCTTCAAGGAGGAGTATGCAAAACTAGCGACATGGAGGTCTTTTTCGTCCTGCAGATGTGCAGTCACTGTGTTCACCAGAGCCATGGGTGGCTTAGTGTCAAACAATATTACAAAGGCCAGCATGCGGATCTCGGAAGGAAGGTCCTTTTGCAGGAACAGAGTCATGGTGATGTCTTGGACCTGAAAACATGTGTATTACAAGTGATTACAGAAAAATAAAAATCACGTATCAATCACACACGGCGGCTACGGGAATTTCTGTTTTGTTCAAACATAGGCTCTGTTATTTAGGGAATAGATGACAAACTTTAAGATGGTAGATTACTGTAAATATCTGGGTGGAAATAGTGAGAAGATAAAGTTCCTTCTCAATCTTAAGATAACACGATGACATTAATGGTGAAAGTACCGTAATTGTTCCATCCTCCTTTGAGGATTAGAATAGTTTTCTACTGTGAGTAAAATAGTTTTTAGCTGAATTTGACCTCATCAGAAAGTGGCTTTTGAGGATAGAGTATGAATTACCATAACATGTTTGATAGAAAAATCCTCCCTCCCTTCATGATAAAAGATACTGCTGTACAAAGCCTTCATTTATTCCTGCATGCCATAGTATAGGAATGTTCTTACACTTTGAGGGTCTCTTGCAGCGATGAGTCTCATAGACTGCACAGCAGCGCTCAGCACAGGAGGCGGTAGAGCCACAGGGTTGGCAGAGACTCCAGGGAGGAAGCGCATGATGGTTTTAATGCTGTCTGGGTGGCCGGCGTTGCCCAGAGCTTTCAGAGCGAGGACCATGTTTGTCTCATTGCCAGTACTCAGACTCTCTGTGGCCAGGTCCAGCAGAGGCTAATACAGATGTTTGATAAGACAGCAGTCAGGCTTCTCAAGTAGACATGACCAAATTATATTTTGACATTCCCCCCTACCAACCCCAATGAATTCTGGTACTGTTACTTGTTAGTTTTTGGAATGGCTGTCTCAAATATGTGTCATTTCAAAGTGTTTCCCCTTTGTTCAATTACCTGAACAGCAGACTTTGAGCAAGGTGTGTAATAGTTACAGTGCTTGTACACCAGAGAGCCATAGCCAAGTGTCACAGTGTGCAACACATAGACATCGGATTTAGAAAAGGGCATGGTCAGGAACGTCTGTAAAAGAGAAAGCTTTTTTTATTTGGCCTGGAGAGAAGCTTTTGTAGACATCATTCCTAAATATTCAAACTATATCTTCCTCTTTGGCATCAACTCACTTTAGCCATTTCAACCAGCTCAGGACTCGGCCTTAGATGGTTTACCACCAGGACAAAGTTCTCCACAACTTCAGCTACAGACAAGTCCCCAGCCTTAAACCTACTTTCAAAGAACTTCAGGATTCTGCCATCGTTGACCTCGACAACCGTGTCCAAAAACCAACGTCTAATGAGCAAAAGAATGAAAAAAAAGTGGGTAAATGTGGTAATACTTCAGATGAGGATTATCCTTTAAATATATCAAAAGAAAAAAATGTGAAGGAGAAAGTTCAGATGTCGCGTTTAATTGCACTTGTACAGGATGACTGCCGAAATCTTAATGAGCAAGAAAAGCTATCTTTCAGTCATCACCTCTCTGTCATCAGGCCTCACAGGATAATAAATCATTCATCAGCCGTAATATTCCAGACTAAATCCTTCCTTGACTAAGAGGGAGGATATTCACCAATTAGCTATTCAGTCAAGTGGATCAGTGTCAGATATAAAAGATAGCCTTGAACGACTTCGCTATCTTGCAACACTTTAATTAAAAGCTGGATTTAGGAACATCTATGATAGATTTACATTTTCAGTGCAGTATTCTCACTTGGTCCAGCAAAAGGCTGAAATAATGGGTTAAACCCTTTTCAATGTTCACTCTTGGAATAAAGTGAATTCAAACAGCTAAAACCATCATTAAAAGTCCATACACAATACATATATTGCTTTGCTATTCAATTACTATTGAACAGCTCAGTGTGGTGACTGACATCTTTGAATTAATTCTCAAGCCATTTAAAATGCAATAAAAGTGATTTTTAGGATATTGTTTGTGTGGTGATAGGGAAGTCAGTTTTATTTAGTTTAGATTTTTTTTCGAACATGTTATTAATCATATTAGTAGCACTTTAAATTACTGCCCAATAAAGTCAGTGTAATATTTATATACTGACCTTTCCATATAAATGAACATTTCTCAGTTACTTTCTTACATTATAGGCAGGGTTGGTAATTTTTGAAAACAAACATGATTTTGAAAGTAGCATCCCCTCAGTGGCGGAGAAAATTACCAACCCTGCCTTTAATTTTGGAGTCTTAATGTATAAAAAATATTCTCCTCAAGTCTTCATTATTGGATAAAGATAAGACATGGCCCCGTGGTTTCTGCAACACAAACTGGTACTGACCTGTACTCCTCATCTCCTTTAAACTCCTCCCACATAGCTTCTAAACCTTCATAATCTATTACACGTAGTAGTTGGTACAGCTTTATGGTATCCTCAGTTTTAGCACTGTCAATGGCGTATTTGTTAACTTCAGCCAGCTTCTTGACCAACTCAATAGCCTGTAAAGAGGAACAGAGAGTACAGCTTTTAGAAATGAAATTACACATATTTGAGATCTACAAAATTCAATTGCACATGTTGTTCTTTAATTCGGTCAGCTGTGCACAAATTAGACTTTACTAATTTTTTTCATCTCCTGTGCTTTCTGCTTCTTTCTTGATTTTTTTTTTTTTTTTTTTTTTAATCTGAATTGAATTTAGCTGCAGTAAATGATTTTCACCTTTGGAATTGGATTCTCCAGGTTATGCATCATAATGGGGATATCAGCTTCTGCTTCAACAAACTTGTAAACAATGCTGCCCTTGCTTTCCAGCGGTCCAAATGTGAGGGCTTCAGCTGTGTCACTCACACCAAGCAGCACCATTTCCTTCCTGTGGGAGAGAACAGCCAATTTGTATAGCAGACAAGAATTGTGAATGGGCCGGCGTAGGTAAGGTGCAGATATTTCCTTAGTCTTACGTCGCTTGCATCTTGAAATTACCGCCCTTCACGTTGAAGGGAGAGAAGTGCTGCTGCTCCAGGCCCTGAGCCTTGGTAATGAGACCTCCCTCTGCCGTTGGTTTGACAGTGTAAACATATCTCACTGTTGATATGACAGATTCCCCTTTCTAGATCGGAGGACACAAAAACAAAATCAGCATTTACTCTTACTCACTTAATTTACAATTGTGGTATTAAGAACATCTTCATTGAGACTAACAGACCTGTTTGGAGACTTTGTCCAGTACAGCAGAGGCTATTCCCCTGTAGATGGCTGCTTTCTCTTTGCAGTTATTCAAATCCACAACCTGAGTGATGGTCATGTCCTTGGTTGTCACGTTTTTCTCAGTAGCATAGTTGCTCTGACACTTGCCATGGATGCCAAACTACAAACAAAATTAGACTTAAATACAATATTTTTTTAAAGGTTACCGAGGCTAAGGGATCAGTGAACCTGTTCAGCTTTGATTTACCTCTTCAAGCTGGTAATACTTCTGTGTGGTCTTCACAGTGACTTGGAAGAAACCCAGTATCCCTCTCACAATGTTCACAATGCTGTCAGGGATCTCAGCAGAGGCATGGATGTCACCAACGTGTCCACTGGCGTAGTCAAACATGAAGGGTTTGACGAGCTGGGCGGCAATACGCTGGGTGAGTTTAGGGACAGCAGTGAAGTTGTTTCTACCCCGGAAGCCATTGAACTCCTCAAAGGCCACATCTGACACCTTTGAAGCAGGAGAGGGAAGGAAAATGAAAACTCTCTCATTGTGTGCTCAGATTCATGCCTGATGAAACACAGATACAGTTTGTGATCCTTTAGAAATGAAATTACAAAATGTCCAACAAAGTTTGAATGCAGAATCTGTTTAAGACTCAAAGATGACACCGAGGTAATGGATGCTTACTGTTTGTACACAAAAGACTATGTGTTGAATAAATATTGATATGCAAACCTTCATGACAATATATCTCTGATCTGAGATTTGGTTCTTTATTGAGACTCTCAAAAGTTTAACCTCCATAGTCACTTTAAAAAGTTCGGCATATTTTTACACCATCAAGACACTTAAAGGCTTCAAAAGCCCCTTAAGGCTTTCAACAGATGTTTACTAATTGATGCCCAAATAATGAATGAATAAATGAATAAAAGATTAATGATAACTGATGAAATTATAACTGCATAATTGATAAATGGTACAGACATATAGTTAACAACCTGTCACTTCTCACTTTAAGCACTACTTATGTATTCTAAGAAATGTTGGATCACACTATGTGGTCACCCTTACCTGAAGGAGGAATGTTTGTGCAGACACACTTAAGATCTTGACCTTGCATGAAATTCTCGCACTCGACTCTGCGAGGTTCGGCATGCCGAGACCAAAATTCACCTCTCCTTCATATTTGTACTCGTAGGCTTTCTTTGGGTTCAGGCCGAGATCTAGAAATGTTTTACAAGTTTAATTTAAATTGTTTTGTTTTTTTATTGAAGTTCTTGAAGAAGACAAATGTTGATACTTAGAATCATATGAATTAAAGAACTCACCATAACTGATGTTTTGACTAGCTAAAAGAATAAAAGTAAAGACAGTGTTAGCAACAAAACTTGTATAAATATAATATATATTAGCAGACTTTATTTATGATCTAAACCACTGGTTCCCAACCTGAGGTCTGGGCACAACGAGTGGGACAGTGTAAGTAGACCTATTCTGTTGGAATTTTATTAATGAAAACTGTTCAAACTGGTGTTTTTAAGAGCAAGAGTATCTTTTTCTTGTGTTGGTCCTGGGGGGTGTCAGCTTTTCTTAGATATAAGTAGGGGGGGGTCCTAGGGAAAAAAAGGTAGGTAACCGCTGATATAAACAACACTCTAGTCAAAGGGATAACATGTGAGAACGTGAGAAAACTAATTTTCAATATTGTCAAAACAGAATAAACGACAAATTAAAATCATGAAAGCAGAAATTAAACCATATAATATTAAAAAATCAGACTTAACTCAGTGACAACCAAAAGATACCAATCTACATTCATTTATCTCAATACAACAAAGTTAGATAGATGACTAAGGTTAGGTTACATACTGTCAAAACAATGAAAATGATGACACACTTTCACAGGTCATTCTTGCTTTTGTTTTTCTGGACCATATGACGTCTGCAGTTTATTTTCTATTGTTCAACTGCAAATACATGAAAAATACATAAGTGGATATTTTTACATACATAAAAATATCCACTTTGAAAAGACTCTATCGGATTGAGCAGTGGAATAAACAAAATAAATTGCCAAGAAGCAATGGTGTTTAAATGGTTTAGTTAACCTCATTTCACGAAGCTGAACTGTGATATCTTTCTATGAACAAAATAATATTATTGAATGAATGCTTACTTACTGGCAAGGGCCACAAGGCAACAGAGGAGGATCATCTGCATGGTGAAACCAAGGACCTAAACTAAATATCTCAAATTTGTCCTTTATATATAAGTGTGGATTATGATCAGGGAAGTGTCAGAGGGAAAGAGGTCTGGTGTAAACAGACTGATTCAAAGCAAACATGGGCTGTCTACACTAGAGCCATGTTGACACATGACATTGTCACAATGACATAATTAACATGTGGCAGATAACAGTCTAATAAAAACCTGTGGCCTGTTACATCTTTGTACTGTGCTAGCAAAATGATTTTACACCACCAAGAGGAAATCTTTATAATTACCAGTCATTGTGTGCTTTTTTTTTTCTAAAATAGAAATAAAAGCATGGCTCTTTTTGCATACAATTTCAAATGAAAGCCTGTTTTTTTAATCACTCAGAAAATGAGTGATTAAAACAGCTGAATAAACTCAATGGGATCAACATCTATCCCCTCAATGTAATGCAGTTGTGTGTTTAAAGGAAGATCCCTTTACTTTTTAAATATCACTTTAAAGTTTGCTGGTCTAAAAATGTAAACAGTCTGTCTCTTGGCGTCATAAAGATGTTGTCTTGACCACAACAAGGTCAAACAGTGTGGGGAATCTTTGCTCTCTATGCCATTTTTCATTTAAAGACTGCCACACAGCCTTAAATGCCTTCTTCAGTAGCCATGATTGTATGTGCTGATTGAGGATGACATTCAACACCAATCATATCAAGAGTCTGTTCTTACCTTCTTTTAGAGGTTATGTTCAGATTGCACAATGGAGGAGGGCCTTGTGTAACCACATTTAAAGAAGTTATCTCAGATATGTTCTCTCCTTTTATTCAGTTAACTGAGATTGTCTGTATGTCATTTCAGGATGAGCCAGCAGAGGGCTCTAGTATCACATTTTTGTAATAAATTGTGTAGAGCAACCTGCATTGTTTTAAATGTTGCAGCACAAGGAGAGACAATAATATACACATTAAAAATCACTTAGCTTCAGACATATCCTAATTGTACTATTAGTAAAACTTTTGTCAGCTAAACCCATTACTTTCACATCCAAGTTTAGGATTTCACTCCATTTTATTCAGTATTCTGCCAGGGTGAACTGCTGTTTGAATCAAAGAGAGGTGATACAACATTGTTTGAACAGAAGCATGAGTTACCCAATGTAAAATATAAGCACAATTAATACAGTATAATATGAAGGAAAAAAACAAATTCAAACACAAAGTAAACAGCAACAACAACAAACTTTTGAGGATTTACAAAACACCTCAGCTGTGAGAACTATGTGATAAAGCAGATACTTCCAAAGGTAATAATTTTCTGGAAAGCATTACACAACACCTTCACTAGCCAACAGCTGCCTTTGTTTTGGATCAACAAGTGACCATATATAATTAGTAAACAAGTTGTTGTTGATTTGACAGGTGTGCAACATGAATTGGATTTGATTCCATTGTCTGTATCATGCCCTAGTGCAACAGAACAGAAAGATGGCAAAGACGAGTCAGTTAACTAAATTGCAATTCAAATCTGACCATAGAGGTATTTACATGGGCAGATATGATTTTTTTTATATTCCTGTTTTAGACAGATTTCATAACTGTAAAAAACCACAGACACATTCACCTGAGAGTCTCCGTAGGTATAGTAGCCGAGGATACTCGACAATTAAGCTTACCTTCAGCCCAAGTCGCTTTACTCCATTGCTATTGCATTTAGGCAGTCCTCTTCTTCCTCCTCCTTGAGGAAGTCATCACTCTCCATGTTTAGAATCCCAGCTATATCCTTCACTAATTTTGTGATTGGCATGCATTAACATTAGTATGTTAACGTTATCCCGCCACACACTCAAACGAGACGTCATCATTACCTGTGTTTTGAAACGTCATCACGCAAATTACGAGTTAACAGGTGTTTTTTTTTAGTTAAATACAATCTTCTTTTTTTGTTTTAATAAAGGAGAGGGGCTTAGATTTTGTATAAGACTGAGAACAACAACTGAGAACAAAATCTTAAAGATTTTCTACAGTCAGACTGACAGCATCTACATTTGCCTTTTTTTTTTATCAGAGCATTCACAACAATCACTCAAACTCAGGAGGGGAGATGCATCCAAACCATAGATTTAAAGAATGGACAGCAGAACACCTTTCCTCAGGTGAAGCTTCTTTTTACAGTCTATGGGTGAAGCCAAAGGAAAGCAAGTCCCTCTGGTGACTTGCTGCAGTATAGGTCAAAAACCCTACCTTCTCTTTGTTAATAAATGGATGATGGGTAAAACTATAAAATCAAAATGCCCATAAGATCAGAGCAGAATTTGTAATGTTGTCATGAGTTAATATCATATAACTAAGTCAACTTCTTTTGAGAATTTTCTTTTTAAATTAGTTATTTCATGCTATAAAAGGTATTAAACGCTATGATTGACAGCTCTGTAGATGACTGCTGCTCCTTTGGCTGTGTGCACCAGACTAGTGGAGTACAGGAGAAACGGCAAAGAGACACAAAATGATCACAAACACTAGTCATTGAACTTTCTTGACCTCAAATATCTGCTTCAAACCAAAAAAAGGAATTTGTTCTGCTGTGGACTTTACTGACCTAGGATCCCCCTGGGAGGGATCTTTGCCATTTTATCAGTAAGTTCAATGTGTTAGTGGAAGCAGCGTGACGTCAATACCGCACCTCTTCCAGGTGATCCCTATGCAGACTGTGCGTCCAAATTCGCAATATGTCAGTGCTCATCACAAAATTATTTTAGCATCATCCCTGTCCAATGAGGCAAGGCTGAGTGGACAGTGTAATTCTCATTGTGTCCACTAGATGGGGTAATGGGCCTACTAAACGGTCAAATACCAGCATTAATTTATTGTACACTCAGTTGTATTATTTTCAGAAATGCATAAAAAAACAATTATTTTGTACATAAGAGAAGGGAGCAGCAGAGAAATGTGTCAGGTTGCCAAATTTGTTCTTTTAATAATTTACAAATACATTTCAAACACAAAGAAAGGGACAAAGACAGTAGACTGTTGTTATCTTTTGTAATGGTGATACTTGAATAAGCATGAAATCAAATGTAAAATTGTACAGAGAGATCCTGAACACATAACAAAATATGTATAGATGATGGCAGTCTTTTAAAAGGAAAAACAACACGTTTAGATAATACAAGTGCTATGTTGTCTTCATTTATTTCATATCTGTTCTGAGCAATTCCTCCTACATCATTTTGAGAAAACAAAAAGCATGAGTCACAGGATATTGTTGAGATGTGGTGCTGACTATTATTCAGATGATGCATTTATTCATCTCAGGCATTCAAAACAGCAAGGCACGTTTTTGAAGAGCCTGTAGTACTCCTCCTGGATCTGGGGGAACGGACAAAAGAACATAGCATTAGGATGAAAACATGATATTCTTATCATGTAATACAACAAAATAAAACATGTTGTTGTTTTAATACAGTATAATCAGTGGTGCAGTGTCACTCTGAAGATTCACATAAGAACTGGTAGTTGCGATGAGAGACATTATGATGGTCTGCTTTGTTACTTGAAAATTTCAATTTTATGAGTATTTACACTTAAAAAGCACTATATTTTGTTTCAGCATCACATTTCCTTAACACATGTCCCATGAAATTTAATGTAAACAACACATAAACATGGTTTTAAATTTGCATCAACTATTAAAGTTCATATTTTAGTAAGTCTGACCTTATTATAATACTATGCGTGAGTAAATTTAGCAGTACCAAATATACATTAAACAATACCTTTCTAGACAGGACGCAGAGGAAGATGAAGATGAACATCCCCTGGAAGGCGTTGGTGATTGTGAACAGATAGGCAGTGAGGGTGGTCTCATTGAGGATATGCAGCACGCCAAACGTCCAGGTGGCTCCCAGGACGAACAGCAGAGCCAACGCACCACGGGCACACGACCTAAGTGTGAAAACACGAGTGTTGCTGAACTCAATATGACTTCTTTTTTTTAAAATAGGAATCGTAATTTGATACAGCAGTGACACCACATGAAACCATAATAGTCCACCAGATAAGGAATTCACAACTCCATTTGAAAACATTCCTTTAACCTTCTCAAAAAAACGCACAAAACAATCCTACCTGATGTTTTCATAGTGGCTGATTTCAGGCTTTTTCACAGCAGTGTGCCGGTACACTTTGTAGATGATTACAATGAAAGCCAAGAGATTAACCTTTGGTGGAGACCGACCAAAACAAACAGGACGAAAAACAAACAAACACCAGCAATTGAATATTTATCTTTGAAAACAATCCCTATTTGATGATTCAAATTAACACTTGGACTGTTATTTTGGGGATGATATTAAAAAAAAAACCCTGATTTTACCAGAATGATCAAACATGCGGGCCCAATGAAGCTCCATATGAAGTGGTTTTCTGTGCTCAGCCAACACCTGTAATAACATAGAAAGTGTTTTATGATATGGACTGATTTAAGATCTCTTTGTTGCAATAATCTCTCCTCCAGCAGACGCAATAAAGTCAATATAATCCATGTTTATACTCTAATCTAGCCTAATCCTAATTATATCCACATTGTATGGGCAAGTATATACCCCTCTTATCTAACAATAACAAAAACAACTGCTCAGAGTTATGAATGATCAGCACTTTTCTGCATAACCTCAATCTTTTAATTAGATTTTGCATTAATAAACAAGAGACTCACTTTTTCTGTGCTCTGTATGCAAAGTCTCCTTTAACACTGAGGCAGTTATTACTTTACTCTCTACACAGCCTTTTAAGCATCTTCTGCTCTCTTTATGTCCCTGCAGGCCAAATGTAATCTCTGTCCCCCTTTATTTTTTTTATAATGAATGTAATTTGTTTATCTTTCCTCCCCGAAAAAGACTGAATTAAGTTTGAAAAGAGGTCTTTGTAAAACCCTTTGTCCTCACAAAACTATGTAAAAAAAAAAAAAAAAAGAAGCTAAATTTCCCACTTACACTTTATCAGTCCCGTAATACTTGGAGCCAAGTGTTGCTGAGATGGCTACAACAACGGCCGGGCTCCCGTAGCCAAAGATGTAAAAGTTACGGTGCAGGAAGCCTTTGTTGTAGATGACGCCAACCACGATTAAGTAGAGATGGATGCCCTCGATGCACATCCAGGCAAAGGCTGCGAGGAAGAAATAGTGCAGCAGCCCGGCAATAACAGAGCAAAAAAGCTGCCAAGGTTGACAAAAGAAGAGAGAAGGAGAGAGAGAGAGAGAGAGAGACACCGATTTTACAAGTTAATAATTTGCAAAAAAAAAAATAAAGCAGGTTTTATTACCCTTCACTTGAGATATGTATTTTAAAATTCCTGCTTTTTGTGTTTATTTGTTTGTCTGTTCGGCCTTTTTTATTAGAGACGATTATTTCTGCTTTTACATAATACATTATATAGGAATAAAAGAGCACCATATTATCCCATGTACTCAACTCAAATCACAATAATGTTTCATAAACAACATGGCGGAGTGGTGGGTCAGACACACACATCTATGCATACAAAGTTGATTTCCCTTTGTGTCGCCCACAGCTCACCTTGTGTGTGTTCATGTTAATCCCCACCAGGAAGATGAACTCAGCCATGAAGAGGCTGCAGCACAGGTTCTTGTGGATGGTGGTCCTGGTGCTCTGGATCTCGCTGAAGAACCAGAAGGTGAAGATGCACATGGACAGACAGATGAGGGAGATGATCATCCCCAGCTGGGTGATCCGGGTCAGGATGGTATGGTGGGCCACCAGCTGAGAAGCAAATGGAAAGGGAGGTGTTTCATTCACAGTTTCATGCTGTACTGAAGTTGTAATTTGTTGTGTTTTTTTTTTTCTGCTTGGCATCATTTGATGTTACATGGGTACATAGTTCTAGTTGTGATGTGTCAGATATTGACCAAGTGATGTTTCATTTAAAGGCTGGAAAACTGCTCTTATTCTTTTGCTTGATCTTTCTTCATGTTGGGGGGACAAATTTCATTCTTTTTAACAAACATTCCTCTCTCGTTTCATTTTTCCCAAATCTAAAAATGTCCCTCAACAATGAAGGTAGAAAATCAAGACATTTGGGGGCACTGTTAAGCTCAATAAATCAATGGGGAGTGTATCTTTAAAAGTTGTGGGTGGATTTCTCTAAGAGTTTTCGTTGCCAGTCGATATGTGTTGCGAGTCACCTTGCCTACAGGAGCTGCTGACCCTGACAAGAGTTTCTCGCTTTTTTTTTGTTTTGTTTCTGTGGGAGACTTTTTTTGCTACACAAAATGCTGTCTTGCAGCTTTTTTGGAAAAAATGTTACCTGAGTAGAACTTTAACACTTGTAAGGCTTGGTATAAAAAAAGCAAGAAAGTGCAGCTTGCACAGTGCTGTCAATCAGCCCCTTCAACACAGAACACAGGAAAAACAAGTGCACACAGAGGGACATCATATTTTTGTCGCGTCTAAAGTATAATGAAATATACACAGTAGGTTAGAACTTTACTGTCTTACAAGCATTTCTAAATTTTCTCAACAAAGACTTTTAATAATGCGGAAGAATTGACAGATTACGTACTACCAAAATTATTCTCTGTCTAAAAGGATCTGCAGTGACAAAAAAAACCCAATTTGAACAAGATGCATCGATGAAGAATTGTTTTACCATGAAAGTGTGAGTATATTTCATAATAAGAAGGTCAAATAAATATGTGACAGCAGTAGGATTTGACTTGATAGGTAAAAAACCTCTCACTGGATGATTTAATTACTTGTGGAAACATCAGAATATTTACTGAGTGTCCTCAGTATGCTTGTTTTTATACAAAACAATCTTCATAGTTAGAAATGTAAAGCTTAAATTTCTCTATCTCTTTCTAAATAAATCATTTTCTGAGTATGAAAAATGCAAAAAAACAAGATGTCGCTACAATCATTATTGGAGAATCAAGGTACAAGGTTGAGCTCTTGCCCTCATTGAAAATACATTTGTTCACCATAGACCTTAAATCATTTGAATAAATCATTCAAAGCCCCAATGGATAAACTCCAAAGACGAAACACCTTTGCACTGTTATCATTGTATTTTAATGTCTGACCACTCACATTTGCTCGCCCGGAGGACATGAGGACGGCGAAGTGTGTGAGGTGACTGCAGGAGCAGGTGGTGGCGTTGCTGTTGAAGTGGACCGTCTTGCAGCCGTGAGTAGCCCAGCGGCCCTGCAGACTGTCGGGCTCGTACTCCCAGAAGGCGCACTTGGTCACATCAGCTTTAGTGTCGATGGGCTGCGGGGAAGAAAGAGGGACAAGGAAGCAGTTCACTGAGCTGTTTTCATTAGTTTTTTTGGTCCAGTCCTGCTTTGATAGCGCACCACCAGGGGGTTCAAACACATCGTGCAGGTACATCAAAAAAGAACATTATTTTTTAATCCATCCAAAGACTGACTGCATCATGTTTTTTTTAAATCATTTTTTAGATACTTTGTTTGAAATGATAAATACACTTAGTGTTATTTATTTACATCAACTTAATTTTTTAAGGGTAATTTGATTTCTTTGTTAGTGTTGTTTTATTTATCGGCTTTCTTATAATTTTAATGGTCTCACAACTTTAAAGCTTAAACAAAATAAAAAACAAACCAACTATTATGCTTTCTTTTGGCCAAACTGAACAGCGTGGGGCACAACGTGCATCATTGTGTGTGGGTGGCAGCACATTTTATGTATCTTTGTAGTAAAGGAGTATTATTGGGATGTACAAATGTACAGTCTGAAATTCTCAAAGGGTTATTTGTTTATCATTCCAATTCACACAATCATGTTGAAGCAACATTTACAGATTTTAAATTAATTCGACTGAGCAACTGGTCTTGCTTCATAAACAAGTATATTTAAATATGGTCTATTGTGTTTTGTTGGTTTCACTTTTGTTTTCTAAATTGGCTTTACATTATTTTTTTTTTTTAGATTAGTACCTTTTTAAATATCTATTTTTCTTTCAAATAAATATGTGCAAAGAGTGCCAAAAAAATAATGACCAGGTTCAAGTAAGAAAAAAATCACAGAGAAAAAAGTACCGCGCCAGCAGAAAGAGGAGCCAAAATTATTGATTGTTGCTCTTTCAAGGCAATTTACGGAGGACTTTTGCCGCTCAATATAAATCAACACCTCCTTGTTAGGCAAAAGTCTCGAGGGCCCGACAAAAATAATGATTTCTCTTTCTCATACATTTTAATTATCTTAAAAGACAACAACAGTACATTAACTTTTAGGGTTATTTCCCTTATTACTCGCTTTCCTCCATCATCTGTTCTTTGTTTCTCTTTCATTTTCTCTTCACTGAACGGTCACTGCAGAAATACAGCCATCCAAATGTTAATTTTCACACCCTTCACTTTACACACCTCCCTCACTACTTTTCAGAAACTTGTTGGCTTACTGCTGGAGTCAGTTTGAATGTAAGGAAACTGTTTCTCATGTAGGAGTGACTTGAAGAATATGAAAAAGGTTCTGATGTTTCAAACTGACCATGATCCTAATGGAGGCCATTGTTGATAACTGAATCTTAAATGACAGAAAAAAGGGCGCAATAAATTCAATCTAGGGGAGGAAAACCTTCATCTAGATTGCATTTAGAATTGTCAAAAAACGGGAAAACATTTGAATACGAAAGGCGGTACTTAAGTGTTATGATCACTTTTTAATCATGTCTGTAGGGAAATTAATAAGGGAGAAAAAAGAAAGACACACCCGCTATTATTAGGTCAATATATTCAAGAAACACCTCTCTGGTCTCTGCAGCAGCATATAATGTGAAGGTCTCCATACTGTAAAGAGTGCAAAAAAAAAAAAAAAAGAAACCCAATCTAGCCAGCCTCAGCACTTTGCTCGGTCTTTACCTCGTTGTGTCTCAGAGTAAAGGTGACATGGTCAAGTTGGTAAACGTCAGCAGGTTTGACGGCTGCTGCTATGACTTGGGAGTTGACAGTGATTTCCCCTGTTCCTGCATAGCGCAAGTAGTCGGTGACACCCGGGTCGCTGCTCGGTTTCAGGATGTCATTGAGGCTGTCATATCGCACAAACACCACCGACACACTTCCTGATAGACAAAAAAAAAAGTTTAACAAAGACAGAAGGGAGTCAAACTTTAGTTTGTGGTTAATCAACCTTTGGGATAAGTTAAACCACTCAATTAGTTCTGTCTATTAGACTGAAATGGACAGTACAGAGTGCAGATCTAACCAAATACAAAGTGTATACAGAACAACTTACAACAATGACAGTTACTCCAAGGTCAAAATTCAACAATTCATTAAGCAGACACTTTTATCAAAAGCGACATACATCAGAGAGTAAGTCATTCTACATCAACAATATTTTAAGACAGATTTATATTTTTCTGCTGTCTGCAACAGTGTTTTAAGATGGAGAAACAAGTTTGATATGTTTTAAATATAAACAGGACTTCTTGCACTCAAATATGACTAACATGCTGTTTGAGAATTGCAGATAGTGGAATGCATGACTTGTCCCAAAAAGATGTGTTATTGCTCAGCTTTATTAGCGTGAATTTGAAAGTATTACCCAATATCACACAAAAAAGCTTTACAGCATTACATTCTGATATGTAGAAATTAATTGAATCATTATTTCCTTTGGACTAAGATATATGTGGCATGTGGGAACATGCGAAAAAAAAAAAACTTTCAGATGGTCACAACTTTGATACAGCTTCTTCTTTTTTTTTTTTTTAAAGGCTACTTTACCGTTTCTGTCCTCCTCTGCTCTCAATTTTGGAGTCAGAGTTATCTGATCCCCGGCCATGGAGGCAGACAGTTTGGCTTTTGTGTGACGGACATCAAATGTGAAGAGTTTCAATTCTGTGGTTTCAGGAAGAAAATCCAAAACATGGAGAAATGAAAAAGAATGACAAAGGCAGTTATCCAAAGCGTCACATTCTTGAACACAGGTGGAAATAAATGGCAGACTGATTTAATAGAACTTCAGATTGTATGTTAATAATGATAATAATAATCCCACCCATTTCAGGGGCTTTGATTTGCAGCTCAGTGGGAGTTTTGTACTTCTTGGCAAGTGTCAGAGCACTTTCTTCAACAGTATGCAGCAGCTTGGTGATGGTATGCTCCCGACGCTCTTCTTTCATTCTGCTCCAAGCCACCAGCTCATCCTTCTCCACCAAGTTATTTACTGCTTTCACTAATTTCTGTTGAAAAGCAGAATTTTCAGTGTGACATGTGTATAAAACTACAGCATGCAACATATGCCTGTTCTGCATGATTTGAGTTAACGATCCTCCAAATATCATGGAAAATGTATATGTCTAAAGGCATTATATATCGACACATTAAAACATCTGCTATCATTTTTAAAATAAAAGCGCTGAGGACTTTGCAGGACTGTATAGTACGTATTAAACCGATTGTTTAAGACCAGTTCAAAGCCTAACTGCAGTTCAGTCAGAACTCCTAATGTTGAAAGAGAAACACAAATAGTACACAAAGATTACTGTAAGAGTTGAGTTGACGAGGGAAGGTTTGACAGTGTAATCAGCCAGTGTTGATGCAGACTGACTCAAGGCCTCAATGTATGCGATCACTTCCACAGAGGTGAGCTCTCCGGACGTCTGCTTAGCAATTTCCTTCAGTACACTCTGCGGATCTGTGAGGTTTTTCATCTAGGATCGGGGAGAAAGAATTTCCATTCTAGTATCTCAGAGAGAAAGACGACTTAAAGGCATCACATTTCTGCATCAAATACATATTCACTGTAGATTAATATTTGTTTGATTGAGACTTTACTAGACTAAACTGGACTAAAAATGTACTTACTGCAGGTTTACTTTCATTTTAAGGCTTGTGAGTCTATGTTTATTTATGTATAATTTGGGAACCTAACCAAATAAATATTCTATTTCTTCTTCCTTCTCCAGTACCCAGATGAACGATCCTGGAGGAAAGCTGATGCATGATTACACTTCTACAAATATTCTACAGGGAAATACACACTGACACACAAATCCACAAAGCAGCTATTAATCAGAGAATAAACAACAGTTACAGCCATTGATCGCAGGTGTCCTATGAGTCAAAGACTTTAGATGGCTAAATTTAAAAGACCGCCATGAATCACTTCTGCTAAAGATGATGCAACAAAAGGTTTAAGAAGGCTGTTACTGCATTTGTGGCTAATCCTTGTTACTGTACAACCTGCCTCAACCTGGTTCATTTCATGTTAATATTCTTTCCTTCCAACAGAGGGCAGTGTCATCATATGTATATTTTTACCCCATCTGCTTGAAAATCCAAAAGAGGGGGGGAACTTACATATTCAAGTGTTTTGTTGACTGTCTGCGTGATGCACCTGATGTTGTCATGGCAGAATTTTTGGGGATGATCTGCAAAACAACAATCACCAAAAGTGTCTCTTTGATTGCTTATTTCTTACATAGTTCCAGCTGGATAATGCAGGTTACAGTAAAGTCTGAGCAGTATGAAACTTGCACTTGGATAACATCACATAGCTGTCTTTGTGATAAGCATTGCAAAAAACATCAGAAAATTGAAGATTGCACCGTTTACTTGATGTATTGCATAATAGATTCATCTCTGAAAAAATGTGTAAAAATGGCTAGTCCGGTGTTGTGTATGGGCAAAGAAAAAAAAGAGAGATGAGGAAAGATGCATGTTTTTGGATGTAAGTATCAGTGCAAGTGTGTTGAGTGTGTGTGCTCTTCCATCCTCATACCCACCTTTACAGCTTGCTCCTCTCCCTGGATGAAAGTGGTTCGAGCCTGAAGTTGGGATGTAATCACGCTGACAAGTGCAATAGAAAGATCCATTCGTATTATGGCAGTGTGAATTTGGTCCACAGACCTGTCCAGACTTGCATTCGTCAACATCTGAAACATGCAAATGAAGAGTTCAGCAGGAATGTAAGATAAAAACAGATGATTAAGGCGATAATCTCAACATCACTAATGGCAAAATATACAAACATACTTGTAATTTCACTGTATTTCTACCACAAAATTAGTGACAATGAGACTAAGAGTAAAGGAAAGATAAGTATTCATATTAAGAGAAATAAAGAGTATGGTGTTAGTATTCCAACGTATAACAATTATTATTGATCGTGGGAGAGAATCGGCATGCGTGAATGCATGCAACACATCTGGATATTCACAAATCAGCATCTAAGATCAACCACATTCTTCTTTTGCTGCATTAAATGGAGCGTGCCGCCCAGAAGCCAGCAGGCACACTCTGTGGAACAGCATGGGTTAAAGGTGCTTCTCTTCTGTTGCAAATGAAGCAAAAGATCTCAGGTGTTTACTAAGAATAGCAGATGGGAAGGAAGTGAAAGGCCAAGGGAAAAATCCCCTCCAACATGTTAATCCTCCACATTACAGTGAGTGAGAAAACTACTCACACACACGAAACATACATACACACACCACTCACACACTCACTCTCACATACACACACACACTTACACACACACACACACACACACAATCCTGATGCCCTTACAGTATATATGAACGGTCATCTGTCAGTACAGTTTATAATGTGTACCTGCTCAGCACAGCGTGTGACCTAAACACATTTTTTTGCCAATTTATAATTCTGAGTGATGGCTTTACCGATACATTCGGTGCCATCATTGGGCTGGAACTGGTCCAGTCCTGTTGATGTGTATCCAGAGACACATGTACAGTAGTAGCTGCCTGCTGTGTTGGTGCAGATTCCCCTGTCTCCACAGATATCGGTCACATTCTGGCACTCGTTGTCATCTAGGGAAAACATGAGGAGGGAGAGTCAACAGGATAAGTTGCTTGAGAAATTAAATTAGAAACACAAAACAGGCTTAAGATCGTTTGGTGTCTTGACAGAAAACCATTAAGTCAAAAAGTAATACTAATATATAGTATAAATAAAATAAAAATACAAATATTTACATAAATGAAAATACTGCATATACATACATAGGATATATGAATGAATGAATGAATGAAACTTGTATTGCCCATAGGGGAATTTGCCTTGCACTGCGTGCATAAAAACACAATACAAAAAACATATACAGAACATCAAATAAAAAAAAACATTAAAGCATCATATGATTAAATGAAGGATTTCAGTAGTAAATTAAATAAAGTGCAGAGTGCAGAGTTCATACTGTATAATCAGAGCTTATTAAGCAGCTGAATACTGGGTAGTACAAAGGATGTAGTGTCTCTATTGGTATTGACATTGATAATATCAATATCAAATTTTAAACGCGATTCATCTCAACATTTCAATAATAAATTACATTTTTAATCGCATGTTTGAAATGAAATTATTTCACATTTAAAAATAAAAATAGTTAGGCTTTTATTTTGCAATATTGTACTGTCATAAGCCGTGATCACTTAAATTGCTGTTTGACTGAAACCCTACTTTTATTTTGAAATAAAGTTAGGCCCCTTTGGTAGATTGAAGGCTTCTTAATTAATTTGTCACAGATCAAAAAATGTATAAAAACAGCTAAAATATAATATTCAACTGTTGCAGCAAGTTGTAGCAGTGTCCCAACTGTATAATAAAAAGGTTTTTTTTCTCTGTGCTGATGAAAAAATGTCAACATTTCCCATTAGGCCTTTCAGCATAAACCTGAATAATGCCTACACCCGTATTAATCAGCAGCTGCTCTGAATGTGTTTCTTCTCTTGGTCAAAATGCTGAATGCCTTGTGGTTGCTCTGCTATGTCCTTTTTCAAAAATGCATTTCTTTCCTTTATTTTAAAGCTGATCATTATATTGAATAACCTGGCTATCTGGAAGCCCCTGCATTTTGCACGTTAATCCTTAACATTTTACCAGCGAGTTATCGCTGCTTGATTAAAGAAAAACATCGCCAAACAACAGAACTAGCATGACACACTTGGTGGAAGCAACTCCTCTAAAAATATACATCAGAGGTAGTATTTTCAGGAGCAATGACTAATTTGGCTTATTTCTAGAGTAATAATGACATTTTCTTGTGTTTATCTGTTTATGTCCAGACATCTAATATGCCAACATCATAGTAGGATAGTGTTAGATCCGTTCCTGAGGAAGTGTGGTTCCTGGCTTCGAGTAAATGGTCACATAAATATTGACATGGACTATCCTCTTAAGTAAGTTAATGTTTGAGAATAACCAAAGTTAATCTTAAATTTTGGGTCCTGGTGTTACTTTGGCTTGGTTAGGTTCAGTTGTAGTCTTGACTAAGTGAGTTGAGTTTTGATTAAAGCCTTTGCTGGCCAAAACTCAGGTTGTTAACGTTGGTGTTTCTAAACTGGTTTCGATTTTGAGAAACTCAAATTACTTGGAATTTATTTCATGTTTCGGCCAGGTTTAAAAAGCACCAGAATTACACCATTTTGCTGAGGATGCTGCTGCAGCCCACAGAGTATAGAAAGTGCTGGTCCAGCTTCCGTCTCCGGTCTCTAGTTTATTGGAAATGACCTCCTAAAACTTTCCATTGTTGTTTCCCATGTCTAGGTATGATGCACGCCGTGCTCTTCCTCTCTTCTGTACTTTTTGCACAAAAGCTGTCTGGGAAGGGAAATCCTCTGCTCTGATGTGGGAGGTGACTGTATCCAAAGGGGAAATACCTCCATAACACACAGGACCCTTGAGCCGTCATAGTTGCACAAACATCTCATCTACTTATTTTATGGCTCACTTTCATGTCTTGATTTTATCTTAAAGTGTATATGTGGAATCTGAGCCTTTTGTCACTTTTGTCATCACCAGCTTCTTTCATCTTTTTTTCCTACTATCTATTTTTAAATGTATTTTATCTCCTCACTTGAAAAGGTTCTGTTCTAACTCATTGTACAATCTCTGACATTAACATTATGTCAGCTCTTTTTGGAGTTTGATTTTTCTACATCAAAGAAATATATTTATATTAAAACCCATTTATCATATTGACTCTATAAACATGTTTGTTAGATTTAAAAAATATATATTCTTTCACTTTTGGTCCTTTTAAGATAAGAGCTGCACTCCTATTGTGATCAGGTTTGGTCAGGAAACAGAAAGGGTTCAAGGAGTTCTAAACAGAAACATAACAGGAGTAACAATGCAGACTAAGAGGCCACGCTTGCCAGTCAACATGTTACTCATAAAACTGCTGTAAAGACATCTTTATATTGCAGAGTTTTCCCAGTGAATTACTGTCGGCAAAGTAACCTTACAACTTGTAGTTGGCAATACAAACATTTTCAAGTTCAAAATTTGAACCATTGTTGGTCAAACTAATACAAAATAGTATGATGGAATTAATCAATTAAATGTGTGCACTATGGAGTTTTGGTGGTGAAATTTGAAAGTTGGAGAAGAGAAAAAATTCTATCCTTTATTTTCTGAACTAAATAGTCAAATTTTGCTCAAAGAAAAAATAGGTCCCTGGAACACTGTTTGGAGCTTAAAAGCTACCAGGAGAGTTACGGTTTCACTCTTGCGGGCCCCCCACCATAACTTCTGGCATATCACAGAATCTGTACAATTCTCCAACTTTCAAATTTCAAAACTACGTAGTGCACCTTTAAGCTAAAAATGTTGACATTGTAAAAGACAAGCAATTGCCCAGATTTTAGAATGAATACTATACAGAAACATGCAGATGAGTGTCGACCCAACACTACAGACAGTGATGTGTCTGTATGTGTCTCTTAGAATTTAGATATGCTGTTCTCATGCCAGATTCAAAACTTCTGCACATTTAGTGCCTGAGATGTTTAAAAAACTCCTTTCCTGTTTTTTTTATTTTTTATTTAACGATCAAAAAAATGTTCAAGAAACCATAAAGCCATAAACGTTCAAGCGGTGCTTCTGTCTGCTTATGAAGAGCAATAACAAACCACAAAGGCTTCCTAAAATAGCCAACGCTGCCATGCCAGCTCCACACAAAGCTGTTTATACTGTTGCATCATTTCAAACAGTACTTGACATATACAGTTTTATATTTATATTTACCATTGCAAAACGTAGTTCCATCTCCAGTGTATCCTTGGTTACAGAAGCAGGCATTGTTTGATCCGTTCAGGGCCTTGCATGTTGCCAGTTGGTGACAAGAATCACAAATGTCAGAGAGGCTGCATGGGTTCATCACGCTGAAGAGCCATGCTGTGGAGACACAAGAGTGTGTAAGTTTAACTTATTCCGTGAAAGTTATATTCCAAACCCAGGTGGGATGCTGCTGCTTGTTTAAGCAAGTGTGGCATAGGTGAAAATTGCATCTTTATCCCTGGCTGTGTTAACCTGCTTCTCATCTGACCACATGGGATCCAACGAAAAAAAAAACATGATTACCAGTAGATACAAGTAGAGAAGTAACACAAACTTTCTGTAATCAATGAAAAAAATCACATTGTCTATTATATTTTAAAAATTATCATTGTTTCTTTTTTTTTTTTAGAAAAACAACGGCCCCTTCAATTAACTCAATGGAGGCTCCACAAATACAGCTACATAATCTTTCTGCCGTTTCCCTCAAAGACACCTGCCATGTCAGACAAGAGATAAGCCCACGTACCTGTCAAAACTACAAGTTTCATTGGTGACTTGAGCAAAGACTCCATACTTGCGCTGGCTCAGGATTATACTTTTAGCACAGACTGTGGGCTGGCTAGTGACGTAGGCCATTTCCTTGCATCAGCTTTCCTGTTTCCCTAAACCAGGCCCTTCCTGTCCTGATTTTTAATCTGCTTTTGAAAAACAAGCAGCCAGGTCACTCCATCAACCATAAACATAATATACCAACCACCCTTTTTTGATATGGTTTCACTATTACAAACAATATATAAAAAAAGTTTTAACTGCAGTCTGTCCTTTTTCTGTTTCAGTGTTGACATACTGTGACTGATGTGGCCATTTTGGAAGCCTCCATGCCATTGTTCTCAGTTGAACACGTACAGTACGCTATGTAAACACAGGCCAAAACAACACCGACCCACCACACGGAAGGACGACCCCCTCCCTTCCGGAGGTCCATACACAAATCTCACATACAAACGAACACACAAAAACACACATTCCAGTCCTGTTCATCTTCAAGTAACCATCTCTTTGTTTTGTTTTTCAGACAGGTGCCTTTATATACATGTGCCATGTTTTTAATTAAGCAGGGGATACAGCCCCTTCAGTTCAGTTTATATTCTGAACAAAGTGAGGCGATTTAGTATAGTGTGTAATGTTTACAGGGGAAACTTACTGCTGATTTTTAAATTATTAAAACTTTACCTTATTGGGTCATATATAGTATCTATTGTTCACAAATTGTAAAAAAATAAATGAAATTGAAATTACGCATGTTTTAGGTATAAGTCTGGTCTTAAAAATAGCTATGTTTTACTCTTTTCACTTTTAAACCCACTGTTCGCACGAGAGTTTCCTCTAATGAATTGATCTATCAGAGATACTGTGTGCCATTTTTAAAATCGTTAAAACATTGTGCTGTGTGCAATTGTTCTCATTTCTATGCAAGTGCCTTATAAAGATAGGGCACTTCTATCAACATGGATATATAAACAGCCTTTTAAGACCCTTTGTGTTGCAGTTATATACTGAGTGCGCCTTTGTAGATAAGTGAGAAGAAAAAAAAACACATTTTTTTTTGGTTTCTTTGCAACCTGCCATGGACTAATGACCCTATTCTCTGTGAGGGAAATGAGCAGGGCTGGGTGCTTTTAGCTTAGGGTTACTGACCCATAAAAATGTTGCATATAGTAGTGAGAAGCATCTTACCATACTGGCACGTGCAAGTATTAGGATTTACACCCATTTCAAGTTCAGAAATGTACAGGTTTGCTGCTATACCACCCCTCCAAATAATATCAGCACTCTGAATTGTAGTTTGAAAGTAGATCTTAACTGAAAGGGGCCGTTAGCAAACAGGTGAATTCAAATGTGAAACTGTGACAATAGCACACATGGAGAAGTAGCCATTCAGGTGTAACTGACACCTTTTAAAACGGTCTTCCACTTTTTGCACACAAACACATTCATTGATGAATAGTTTCACTTGGAAGATAAGTTCTTTGTTGACTGCATTGCAATCTGAGGAGGAGGTTTGAATTGCTTAGGCAAGGCGTTCAGTTTAGTGCTGAGAAAGGCAGCTGCTTTGAATGACAACATTAGAACTGCACTGCATTACTGTCCTGGGAAAGTGCTGGGTGAAAACCACTTCTGAATGTCTCGCTCTGACACTCTCCTTAGAGTAAGGAAGGAAGTGATGTTGTCTCGAACAAACCTGGACTGATTGCACCCTTCCTCCTCCGCCTTTTAGTCTCAGAAAATCTCTCATTTAGGGCGAAATCCGTAGAGCTTTAGCAGAAGCTTGATTTCTCCACAATGACATTGTTAAAAAAAAAAGACACCTAAGAGAAAAGATATCTTCAACTGTGTGTAAGCTGTCTTGTGTAAATGTTTCCTCTTTTCCTTTCCTCTCTCATGGATATGGAAATTTAGACTCTGCAGTAGGAGAACTTTGCGTAGGTGTATGTGCATGAGCAAACGGAAAATGTTTTTTATGCAATTCAGGCAGCAATATTGAGATTTGTAAAAACAGAGTACACTGGAGAATCTGTTTTGACACCTCTCACACATATCTCTGCTGATGTTGGCCTTATGCTCAGCCATGATGGGAGGACTGAATGCTGGGGCACAGATGGCAGCAAGTGTCTCATAAACTTGCAGCTCTTGAATATTTCAGTACACAAGGTTGAAGAGACAAAGCACGCTCTCTGCTCAGGTTCAGAGATGCCAGCTGCTGCACTGGTGGAAAGCCCAACAACATTTACATTACACTTGCGTTTAGGTGGTGCTGCTCTGACAAAACAGTCTGCACTTCATTCAGAGGTAATATCCATCCTGAAATTGAAATAACACCTGTCAAGCATATCAAGAAACGACTGTAACTTCGGCTGCGGTTGAAAATGAGATTTTTTTCATTTTTTTTCATTTTTGTTAGTCAGCATTTGGTCAGGGAAGATAAGAGGATCAAGAATATCCTCTTATAAAGTCACAAAATATCACCACAGTTTCTGAAGTCTTTAACAAGCTATTTGGCTGACCAGAGAAAGAAACCTTAAAAGAAGCTTAGCAGTATTGAACTCTATACTTTTGGAGACCATGGACGATCTTACATACATAAAACTGTTGAATTTATGTCACAGAACAATATGTGTGGGCCTAGTCTTATTCATATCAATGGCGCATATAGCTAACAATTAAGAAATAGAGTCAAAATAAATATAAGAAGTGTTTGCAAAGTAGCCTATTGCATTTTGTGTTCCACAAAATCAACCATGTAACTGGATTAAAATAACAACTAAATCAATAGGCCTACCCCTTTGGAAAGAACATCCTGGCAGCCTTTTTAGTATATCAAAAGGAGATGTAGCTAACACCAATAAATAAATAAATAGCCAATTTAAAAGCCAGTGAAATACCTTCTGAATAATAAGGCTTCAGTTTTGTCATTTATTCCTTAAAAACACAAGACAATTGCCTTACTTGAAACAACACAGGCTGTTGGGCAAGGAATTCAAAAAATCTGATAATGCTGTTCATAACTCAAAGGAGCATTCGCGGAGTTAACCAGTAGCAGCAAGCGATATGAAAAACCTTTTGGATAAGCCCCCCATGGATAAAAACATGGTAGGTAATTACTTGTGTTTTACCTTCCATTGCTTGAAAACCACCACAATAAAAGCAAAAAAAGCAAAAAAAAAACATTATTAGCGTGTTAGCAATTAGCTCAGTAACTAGCTTTCTGCTGCTAACCAACTAGCTAACTAGCTAGTCAACAGTTAGCTAGCAAAGTCGAAAACGCACGCAGGAATTAAAAGATACCACTTTGTTTTACCAGGTAAGTTATTTAGAGTTAGGAGGATATGTTTGTTGTTTTGTAGCCTTAATGTTTGAAGCTAGTCGTGTATGTTACGCTGTTTTAAGTGTTCCTTGTAATGAGTCAGTAACTCCACCAACTTCACTACTTATGGCAGTTTCATTTACCAGAGTTTCTTTTCTCATCAGTTTTACTGAGGAGAAGACTAGGACAGTGAAGAACATGTTGCTAGAAAGTAGCAAGTACAATTTAAAAAATACTTTAACAGCTACCAATATTTTTAAATATAGTGAAAACAGATTGTGTAAAAAAAAAAAGACGGTGACTAAAATAGTAAGATCCAGTGGTGAATGCTAATCCTCTTTCTGATGTTAACATTCAGTGAGAGACACAATCATCTATAGCTGGTCTGTTTACTGTACATCTCAATTAAAGTTACAGTCACTTGACTATTTGTCCTTCTGATATTGAGATAGTTGTCAATTAACTTGTTGTTAGCAGACTTTATAACCACACAAATATAAGAGAACTGTTTGTTTTCCAAAAACACTTAAAGATCAGTAGGCCTTTTAAGCCTAATTTATAGGATAGTATTTATTATAATCGTACCGTTAAGTTGAGTTGCACAGCATATAAAATGTGTTTCACAGTCTAGATGTCAAAAGTAACTAACAGATTTTGACACGCAGTCGGTAATGCGAAGTGGGCAGAAACCTGGAGGGAAGCGAAAGGTTAATGGAAATGTCACAGAAAAAGAACAGACTACTATGAGCTACAGAAACTTCCAGAGGCAATGGCCGCTCTGTACCGCAATTACCAAAGTTAGAGTGTAATTAAATTAATTTAACATCATTCTTAACTATAAATTCAAATTGATTGACAAAACAACTAATGCTTGGTTCCGCTTGTTGGTTAAGTTAGGTTGGTTAAGATTGGTGACATTTGTAATAAATGCGATGCAAAACAAATGTCAAAATTTGGATTTTAAAACTTTTAGCCAACCCTTGTTTGCTACACTACTCAATGTTTTTTTCTAGTATCAAAGTATTTAAGAATTCCAATTGCTTTATTGGAATTGTTGGAACTGTCTGTCATTTTATCGGAGTGTTAAAATGTTAACATGAATTTTTAATATATCTGTTGATTATAATTTCAGCTCGCTGTTATTCGTGTCACTGGGAAACTTTGAGTTGTTTTTTGTTATCAGTTTAATTCATTCTAAAAAGTTCAGTAGTCTGCTTTGAAAAAGTCTTAGTATTTTTCCTTCCCTACAAAAATGATTAAAAAATACCTTTAGTTTGTCTTTCTTCCACCCATTGCCACCAAAGATGTGGTTAGCCAAACTATGCAGCACAGAATAACACAATAAATCAAATATTCCACAGATCTGAAAGAAGTGTGTGGATGCTCTCAAAAACCTTTATCCACCTTTATATTACTTCAAAGAGCTATTGATAAGTGGCCAAAAGCTTTCTCTTTGCAGATGTTTTGTAAGCAAAACAGCCAGCATACAGCAATGATTCTTCAACCAAGTTATCTTCAGAGACGCAAGGTTTCCGAGGCCATGTTTCCTTTTACACTTGAGCATTCAAACTAGTGATGCTGTCATTTGCTAAATTGTTCTAGAGTCAAAGTGGACGTGCTTCGGAAACACACTTTAAACCACTTGGGGGTAATGGTAAGAGTAATTGGATAAGTCATCAGATCAAAGTTCTTGTGTGTGATTATGAGAGAGAGGAAGGAGGTCAGTTGTCTCGCTCTGCATTTTGCACATGTGGCGTTCTGTGCTAC